CCCCTACCAAACACCCTGTATTAATAAATTAAACAATTGAACTATCGACCACTCAGTCAAAGAAGCTATAATGTCAAGGACTAACTCTCCTACAAGCCTGAGCAATTAATTGAAGACTCATGAATGATTTCAGATCGAACATAACCCAAATTAAATAGTTACTGACTTGGTAGGCTGGTACTGACAACCTTCTTGAAATCATTTGAGCTGAAATTATGAAACTAAAGCAACTTGGCAAATATTTAGCTTCAGCAAACACAGACAATTCAACACTGTAAATGTTTATCAGTGTATTTTCAATCATTGATGCAAATAAATCACCCTTGAAGTCTCTAGACTTGGGTTCATGTAATAAAGGCTACCAGGCCACTCATTCAAATCCAACAAATTCATCTGTCTAAAATGTGACTCTTTTGGCATTGGTAATGTATAAGGTGGATTATATATCTCATTTCAGGCTTGGTCTTTGATTTTGAAACAATTCCTTTTAAAAGCCTATCCTCATCCCATGTTGATAGCAACCTGTGCCATCATAATTCTCAATTTTAAACAATTGAAACACTTCGAGTTATTTTTATTTTCCAAAACCAGAATGATGGATAAGTTTGTCAGCTTTTCTGGTCTTTACTTCCCCTAAGGATGGAAGGATTTGAACTCCTTGTTCTTCCAGTGTATTCTGGTCAGTTTTCCATTTTCTTACTCATTCACAATGCAGGAACATATTCCTTCTTGATAACGTATTGTTAAAGACATGATTCATGAAACATGTTCCTGACTGTATCCAAGGTTCATACTTTAATTTGTACATCAATTCATGAATCCTGTTTTGCCACACCATCTCCCAACATAGAGGCACACTTAGATTAAATATAAAGACAAGTGTATTTTGATACTTCTGATGGTTTAAGGACAAAAACCAAAATCCCTCTAATGAGGAAACAGAAGCATTTTCTCCTGTAGATTAAATGCAGGAATTAAGAGCTTTTGCTGGAAACAGAAATTAGAAGCAAAAATTAGCTATTATGCTTTGTTTATGATCTATACAAATGAGCTCTTTGCAGGTGTTCTTGAAATTTTTGATACAATGGTGATTCTATACAGTGATGCAGATAATAATGGCCTGCTCCATGTTTGGTGGCCTCACAATGCTCTTTTCTGCCATGTATATGCACCATGTTTTGTTCTAGCTCCAAGAACTAATTCATACTTACACTTATGCTGACAACTAACAATATTCATGCAGATTAAGCCTTGCAGTTTGGGGAATACTGAATTTTCCCTTTAAGAGCAGTTTCCTTAGTGAGCTTTTGATATTTTTGGAAGAAGAGATCAAAACATAATGGATATGCATTAGGTCAGCGGTTATTTCTTGTATATGATAGAAGCAAAAGCTTAATTTCAAATTAAAGTTTGACCTGTATATACAGTGGGAAATTGTTGGTGTATGTTATTTGGTTTCTCTGTTTTTTATGGATATTTTGAGGTCTCCTGTGTTTAGCTTTGTCATATTTTCCTTGCGTTATTATGCATTTTCTTTCTGTCAACAACAAATAAAATATCTCGTTGTCCTCCTTTGTAATCCTTCTATATATTAACCAGTGAATAACAGCAAGCAGGGTTTAGTTTAGTTTACAGCTTCATCCCAAACAACTGCATGTAGATACACATCTAGATCTTCATGTGAAGCAAACCAAATAGGTTTCAAATCAGCTTCGTGAGAGAAAGGGTTAGGTACTTGCTTATGTGATCATTACCATAATCCAAAACATGAATATCAAAAAACATCATAAAGACAGTGAACCCCTTGAAAGAGCAATTTCAAAATTACTATAGAATGTATTAAAAATTCTCTCAAGGCTCCACTCTATGATAGAACACCAAAAGAATAACAAGAACTAATAATAAATGGAAATTATAAAAGCATATCTAAGTAAGCTATGTGTGCCACAAAAAGCGCAGAATTATCCAAAAATGGAAGGTTGCATTATGTAGCAGCTTGAACATACTTGCAAGTAAACCAAAATTGTAATCAAACTCAACCAATATGATGGAGGCCCGCTGCACATTTTCCTACTTCGAGACAAATGTTACGTAGTTCAACCGGCTAAATCACAATAAAATTTATACAGAAGAACCATGTTCTGAAATATGTTGAATTCTTCATACTTTCTTATTTATATTACAATTTACATGTCCTTGTTGAAAGAATTATGATCTGCACTTATTTTATCACATTTCACCATTTCTTGTGCTGGATATTGTGCAATGTTTGCAAAGATACAAAATTTGAAAACTGAACAGATATTACCACCTCTTGCTGCAGGTTTTCATAAGTGGGCTGGATGAATTTTTGGATTTATTATTGACCAAGTACATAGTCCTGTTAATAATGCTATGATTATTTCTGCAAACTTTGATGTTTTTATATTCTCTAGCTAAGGGATGGAATGTTATTATTTGAAATTGAACTACAGCAACATCATTTGAGATCTGTTTTGCATTATATATATATATATATATATATATATATATATATATATATATATAATTAGCTTCCATTAAGATTATAAATTGCATGTACTACAAACCCTTTCCATCAATAACTTGGAAATGTATGCAAGTACATAAAACTGAAATTGAAAAAGATGGAACTAAAATGTAATTGCAAAACAATTTAAAGCAGTAGCATCATCTGACGCACTGAGAAGCATGAGTACTTCATTTGGTCAAACGTACTCATACACGTACTCACTAAGTGTCAGATATCAATGCACATGGGTACTTCCAAAGTTATCTTTGAAAAAAAAAAAACATGCATGCAGCATGAGTATGACTTTAATAAGACTAGGTGCAACTTGAAGTATAGCTAGTTATGTCTTACATACTGGTTAAACCATTTTTCTTCCCATAAAGGTAGCAGTTTCTCAGGTTCAGGGATTATTTAACCTTTCTCTTAATTTTTCCCATATTTGTTTCTCTCTTTAATCAAACTCACACTCATTCCTGTGAGAGACATGAGGTATGAGTTGGTTCAGCTTTTATTATAGATGTTTTAACTTTTAAACAATAACGGCAACTTACTAATATTTTTGTATTCTTCACTTTCATTATTTAAAAATTATATTAGCATGCTCATACCTTTAACTTTTAAAAATTATCAAATTTTGTACCCATATCCAGACCGGATATAGTATCGTACCCAAATTGATGCAACATAGCTGATGCATAACATGTCAAACTTTTCATAACCATCCTCAAGTCATTATTAGGCTAAACTTTTTGGCAATGTGCAATCCATGCTTTAATTTTGACCAAATGGCCGAAGCATAACTCTAGTACTTTTCAGAAGGTTTTTGTGGCCCAACAGCTGATATGGGTGAAAATTAGGTATTTGGTTTTGATTAGGATTAAAGCACAAGTTCTTTTTTGGGGGTTTCTCTAACATATATGCAAAGGGATTGGGTAGATTTGCTCTATTTATGTTTCCTTTTTTCTTCATTGTTAGCATTTTCCTTTTACACTAAGCAGGATCCATTATGCTAAAAAATTATTGTAATTATCCTCTATCCATTTTGATGAATTTCTTCTTTCATAATTTTAAATAAAATATTGAAATTATAATTCAACTATGCCACTGAACTACACTATGTCCTTGATAGCACTATCCTGCCAACATACAAGACTCCTGGCTATTGAAATGAGTACATTTTATGGCAATGTTACTAGATCCTAGATAAACATTACCATTATAACATTGAGTGCTTCCTCTCACAAACTTTCTTTGCTTTTTAATATTTTTCCAGTAACCTTTTAAAGTATAGTGGAAATAAAAGGGGCTAACACTTGATGATAAATAGCTAAGGGCATGAAAAGGCCACAACAAATTTCAGATAACATATGTTTAACTGTCTTTTCTTTATCTTTATTCTACCGGTGTAAACATCTACCCTTAGTTGAATCATGCGCTAGCAGGCTTAGTCTGCTTATAATCTATAGTTGCAAACATTCTATTTTAAGTTTAAAATTCCTGCAGTCGTCATCTCTGTTTAATTTTCCTTTTGTGAAGTTTCATTCCTTTTAGGAATCAAACTTTTAGCTTGTTCTTTACAGTCTTAAGCAATACAGAGGCTATCAATTTTGTGGCATTCGAAGCTCAAATCAAAGAGAAAATACAGAAAAACTAATGAGCTAACAGATTCAATTGAATATTAAGGAATTAAACATTAAGAATGTTGTCGTTAATAAAATCCTTCTAGACACACAAATTTTTACTGTAACCAGCATTCGAACATAAACTGTTCAATCAAATAACTAACTCAAGTTTTTTATTCTACAATATCCCAATATTTTAATTCCAGATTATCTCTCAGGCCTTCCCTTAAAGTCTAACCAGAAGATGCTGATATCTGGTTTTAAAATTTGACCCGAGTTAAGAGCAGTACACTCTACCCATATTTTCATGAGTTTCCTATACCTTTAATGTTGAAATCATTGGGAGTGCAAAATGATATCAAAATTGAAAACTACCAAGAGGCAAACATGAGACACTTCATGCCCCAAGATTCATCAATATGGAAAAGTGGAAAACCAATGCAAGACTTGTGAAAAGTATTGAACAGCTGAGCTAATGCTGCATGGATCCACTTGGCAGTGGTTGGATAAGTAGATTTATTATTTTGTAGCCCTGTTTGGAGTGAATTATTAATTGAAAATCAGCAGCAACTTTCCAGTTTCCACCACGATTTTCTTAACAGTAAGGTGTATATTCTGGAGCAGCTTATTTTGATGAATTGAACTTTATCAATTACCGAACATGGGAAGCAATGACTATTGTGTTGTATTCCTACATTTCTTTCTTTGTGCAAATTTTGCTGGTTTATTTCTAAGCCAATACTATGGCCTTGATTAAATAAATTAAACTGAATTGAACTGAACTTCTGGGGTACATACATGTAATCTGCTGGAAAAGTAACAAGCAGTAAAAGGTGGGCAACACTGACCGCCTTTGCAAACTCAATTCTAAGTGGGTTGCCAGCAAGAGGAAACCCTTGCAGTGCTCTCATGGCATCAATAGCATCTTCATCCCTTTTGAAGTTAATGAAAGCATAGCTGCGGCCAGGCTGGAATGCCACATTCTCCAATGGTCCAAACCGTAAGAAATGATGAGCAAGTTCATCCTCTATAATGCTGTGGGATAGATTCCCAACCCAAAGGTGCCTGGAAGGTGGATTGTTATTGTTGCTGTTGCCACTGCGGTTGTCACGCCCGCTAACCCCATTTCCCCTACTATCTTCGTACCTTGAAGGGTAATCCCTCCTAAACCGGTCCCTTCCTCCTCGACCCGACTATTGCCAAAATCAAAACAATTAAAAAAAAAAAATTAAATTATCAACCATTCTCTTTATCTCTCTCACAAAACTAACACAAACAAGTCAAAAACATGAATCCAGACACGCAGGTGCACGTGCACGCACAGACAAACAAATAACCCTCTTTAATTAATCCTGCTACTTTAAAAAAATAAAATACACAACCGTTATGTGTTCCACTCAGCTCCACGCCAGATTAGGCGCACCAAAATGGCTTAATAATAATAATTAAACGAATGAACAGTATTGAAAACCAGTCTTAAAATATCGGGGTGTGATGATGATGCTTACGCCTTGAACAACAGCAAAAATAATAATTAGAACCCTGAGTAAGGTACTTGATTGATACTCTGCGTTGTGTGTGTGTGTGTGTGTGTGTGTGTGAAGTTGATGATTTGAAGTAGATGAAATAGTAAATGGGTGCAAAACAGAGAAAAGGTGATAGTAATCGAAGGAAACTAACCATGGAAGAGTGAAGAGACCAATTTCAGAGAGAGAAAGAGAGAGCGAATTGGGAATTTTGCTCCAACGATGTTGTGGATCGAGAAACGAGAGTGATGATTCCTCACTCACTGTTACGGAAGGAACATTAGGGTTTCTGATGGTTGGTAGATATAGGAAATAGAAATGTAGCGATCGAAATAGATAACTGGATAAGTGCTCAATAATAATTAAATATTGCAATTATATAATAACTAGAATACCAACATGGGTGGACGGGCAGGGGATGTATTTTTACAGTTTTATAACAGATATTTTTAAATTTTATAATATAAATTATTAGAAAAATCGAAATGTAGAAAAAATTATATCACTGCAACGAAAAAATTATATTTTAAAAAATTAATTTAAAAAAAACGAAATTAAAATTTATATTGACAAACAATTTTTTTACATATAAAAAGAAAAAATATTTTTAAAAATAAAAATAAATTATTATTTTTATCATACATGTCACACTCTAAATTTTCATTTTTAATTTTTCATTCATTTTTTTTTTATAATTCTTTTATTCTTCTCATAACATATTGCATTCTTTATTGTTATAGTAAGTTTCTTTTTTATTATTATCTTTTTCATAATTTGCTCTAAGCTCTCTCATCAAAATTCTCTTTTATCTCAACTTCATGTGAAGAATTAAGTAATACTTAAGAAAAAAGTATCAAAAATATTTAAATTCTTTACCTTAAAAGAATGTTGGAACATCAATAAATAATTTTGAAATATCAAATTCTATCTTCAAATCAAATTGTCTATTTACTAGACTTCATACTAATTGTTCAGAGTATTCAAAGAGAAAGAATAAGAAGAAGAAAAAGTAAGAAGATGAATCTTGTTAATAAATTATATATCAAACGATAGTTCCATCACTTGCATCATATATTTAATAAATAAACCTATGTATATATTATTAGTGATGTGTTTCACATAATAGGTGTGAAGATTCAATGATATTAATGAAGTTTAGTAGTGTGAAAAAAGTAAGTATAAATATTAGTAATAGAGACCAATTTTTTTAGAGCAAGTAGGAGTTGTGGTATCTCCAAAATTTTGTTTACTACTTATATTTCTATATAAAAATATTTTTGGACACCCCAATATTATTCATTATACCTCTAATTTTTTATATTAATTTTTAATGATTATTATTATTTTAATATATTATTTTAAAAATTTGATAAATTTATTTATAATTAGTATGAATTTAAATTGAATAACTTTACCCTATATACCAAAAATTTAGGTCAAGTTCTGACCCCTTATTTCCTAAATAGATCATTGATCAATTGGATTTTTATAACATTATTTCCTCTCATTCCTAGCTCATTAATCTTCTTTTGTGCCTAATAGGTTGAATTGGATCATTTTATGATGTTTGAATTTTATTTGGACTTTATTTAACTTTTTCAGTATTTGGCAAATTCTAATACTGTTTTAGTTTCTGGACCATATCTTGAGTTGTAGAACTCCTTTCATTATAATTCTTGATTTGTAGGAAAGCTAAGAGAAAGGTACACAATTCCTATGAAGAGGTCAGAAACCAATTTTGATGATAAGAAGCTGAAACTGGGCCTGGAAAAAGTCAGAATGCTGCAGTCGCAGATCCTGAGCAAGGTGCAGTATTTGGCCCATATCTCAGTCCACAAATGTCCGATTAAGCCTATTCCAGTGGTGTTTTGAAGCTAACATCCAAGGCTACAATTGTCCTTCAGGCCACGAACCAAAACGAGGCCGTTCATAGCCGAAAAAATAGAACAAAGTGACGAATGGAATTTTTGAATTTTAAATTTTGAATTTTAAGTTGTTTTTAGCTCCTCTTCTCTTCTCTCTCTCTTTTTTTTCTCTTCCATTTTTACTTTTCGTTTTCCTCAATTAATGGAGGCTTAGACTTTCATCTAGTCCAAGGATTGAAAAAGGATTGAGACACTCTTGAGGATCGGTTTTGCAATTTATTCAACAACAAATTTGGTTTCATCTCTTCCTTCTTTCTCCTTTTGCTAATTATGATTTCGAATTGAAGTTCTTCGTTTGGACTAATAATTTTGCAGTTGTTTGATTATATATTATTCAGTTGATGTATGTAATTAATTCTTGAAGGAGTGTGAATTAGATTTTCAGGTTTGAGATCTAAGATTAATGGCATTGGTGAATTAAATTAACACAAATCGATTAGATTCTAGAGGTTTCTGAACTTTGAGCGAATTGTGTGTTAATTGAATGCATGAGGGTTCTCGTGTGAATGCTTAATTTGAATTGAAGTTTCATTCAAATTTAATGTTAATCACTAATTTGTTGGTTGATGCATCTTCTTAGAATCCGATGATAGAGTGGTCATACTTCTTCTAAATTCTTGGATTAGAGTTTTTAATTTTTGTTAACTTTTGATTCTAATTAGTGTTATTCTATAAATCAAATCCCCTCTAATTTTATAATCATATAACATTATCATCGTTGGGAGACGACTTGGTTTGCACCTCTTATTACATAATTTTTATGCAATTCAATTTTTATTAATTTGTCCGAGTGCGACACTCGCGATCAAATTTTGGCGTCGTTGCCAGGGATGATGATGTTATTTGATTATATAATTCTGTGTTAATTTGATTGCATTGCATATTCTATGTTGCGTTTTATATCTAATTAGGATTTTGCATAATTAGCGTTTTTCATCGAATTAAGATTCTGCATAATTAGCATTTTTCATTTAGCATAATTGTGTCTATACATTCTGTTTTAGTAGCCTTTGAATAGCATTGTAGGTAGTCATCTATCCTTGCTTAGTATTACATCATTCAATTCTCTACATTTTTGCATTCTGCATTTGTCAAAAAAGTACACAGCCGTGTATTTGAACGTGTAGATCTTTGTCTAAACTTAAAAGTGACATAACTTTTGGCATACAGCTCTGATTTCTTATTGTCATATATGCATTTCATATAGCTCGACAAGATCTACACATGGTAATAGGCCGGAGGCCGGTTGGTGGTTTCTAAAAAAAAATATGTCTTTTCATTCTTATTTAGATATTATAGCTGAGAGAACTTTTCATGCTGATGATCAAGGAATAATAGAAAACAAGCTAGATGATTTAGCTTCTTTGATCAAGCAATTGACTTTCTCATAGATGGATACAATGTTTTGTGAGATTTGTGCTTCACCTGAACATTTCACTGACTTCTGTCCTATTTTGCATGAGCCTACAGGTTGGATGAATCATTCAAACTTGGGATGGGGTAATTTTACGCAACAACAATATCAACCCTCATCACAAACTTCTAAACCTTCCAAGAATGAGCCTTCCTTGGAAGAATTGATAAGGGAGATGACAATTAACGATCTGAATTTCCAACTAAGAATAGAAGCATCCATTCAAAACTTGAAAAATCAGATTAGTCAGTTGGCAACAACAATAAACGAGCTGAAGTCTCAAGGTCCTGGTAATCTTTCTGCACAACTAGTTGTTGAACCAGAGAATGTTACTTTGAGTTCAAGAAAGACCATTCAAGACTCGCAAGAGCAGCAACCAATAGATAAAGATCTTAATGCTACTGCTCCAACAAGTGATTGCAGCCCAACAAGTGTAAAATTTGCTCCTACTGCTCATACCACTTCTACTGAGGCAGAAGAAAATTTTGAGCAACCTGTTCCTCTTCCATTTCATTCAGTTTTTCATGATAATTTGTTGAATGATTTAGTTGATGATAATTTGACTGAGTTCTCATATTATATTGATTATCCTAGCTTAGCCAATTATTCTGATTCCTTTACTTGCGATGCATGTAATGGTTCTGCAAAATGTAGCATCTGTGTTGAAATTGATACATATGTTTATGGTGATTTTGATGCAGCTATTGCAGATTCTGAAAAAGTAAATCATGATGCATCCACTGTAGATTCTGCTCCAATTCTTACATTGTCTCCTTCTCTAAAGTTGCCCCTTACATCTGAGTTAAAGCCATTTCCTAAGCAGTTGAAATATAAATATTATATCATTGTATATTCAAGGGAGCATCCTAGGTACAGCAGCAAGACACGATGTTCTGCACATCAAGGAAATGAATAGCATGAAGAGAAGCTTATTAAGTTCATGAAGCAGCTGGAAATCCCTCCACGGCTATTTCTTCCATGTTCTCAATTAAATGAAGTGCTGCAAATTTATGAGAAAAATGAGGAATATTTAGGGATACAACTCAATTATTTTTTTTTCTTTTAGAAGTTTTCAATTTATTTTTTGCATTCAATAATGGTCTTGCATTTTAGTTTCTCGCCTCAATTTCTTTTCTGGTAAGCTTCGTTCTAGGTGGCTTGGTCCTTATATCGTGACTAAGATTTTTCCCTATGGTGTTGTGCAGATTTTGAAGCCTGGAACAAATAAAGTACTCACAGTGAATGACCACCGCTTGAAGCCATTTCATGAGGACGTACCCTTAGAGACCACTGAGGAGGTCCGCTTACTAACAGCCACTTATGCTTGATTAGGGAGTTCCTCTCTGCCTTTTCTTTACTATATTTTACATTTCCATTATACATTACATTGAGGACAATGTAAAGTTGAAGTGTGGGGGGGAGAGTAACTTTATTATTTAGCATTGTTTTTGTTTTTGTTTTTGTTTTGTTTTCCTTTGTTGAATTGGAAGTTGTTGAGTTAAGGCATTAGTCATTAAGGAGGATAGAGTTCCTACATGATTTTATTTTTGCTTCTTCCTCTTAATATATGCGAATTGAGTGATTGATTTTGATTTATATGATTGAGTATGTTAGACTTTACCTTTGTGAGCTTTTGAGCCTTATTTTTGGATGGTTGAAATTCATGCCATTCTTTTCTTTCTTGTGTATTTTCCCTCTTAGATTTTGTCATTCTAGAACTTGTTTTGATTCTTCTTTGAGGCTACAATTTTCATATGCAATTATGAACATGATAGAGGCATTTCTTTCAAATTTGTACCCACTTGGCCATATAGCTTACCTTACATTTTGCTCTTTGTTTAGCCCCTTTGAGCACCATTCTTTAACTTCTAGCACATTATAAGCTTTAAGTGAAAAACCATGTTATAGCTAACCTTAGGGAATAGGGAATGCATTAGTTTTATTAATGTTATTGTATTTCAAGTGTAGGGGTTTAGAAAAGAATGCAAGAAGAAAAAGAAAAAAAATGAAGAA